TTTGAGCCCCCTGCATGGCTCGAAAAGCCACTGTATGGATTGAGAACTGGAGAGACTCGGCGAGTCACATGGGTGTACTCGACGAGTTGTATGAATATGTGCATGGGCTCGGCGAGTTGGAAGAACAACTCGGCGAGTCTGTTGAAGATTGCCTAGGACTCGGCGAGTCTGTTCTTGGACTCGACGAGTCAGGTCGCAGAACCCCCAACCTCTTCTGGTTAAGACGCAGATCAGTGAGTTGAGCGGTGACTCAGTAAGTTGGACAGGATGGGACTCAGAGATAGTTGAACTCGACGAGTCCTGGGGTGACTCGGCGAGTTGGGTCGTATTTGGAGAGCTTCTGAGTTTAAGGACTCGGCGAGTCTTCGGGTTGACTCGGCGAGTCTTCGGGTTGACTCGGCGAGTCGAGTCAACTGGAAGGTTGACTTTGACCAGGACTTTGACTTTAACCAGAGTTGACTTAGTTTGACTTCTAGAGTTCAGTTTGGAACTAAGTGTTATATTGATAATAGTAGCTTGGGGAGCTAGTGGAGCAGCGGTTCAGAGAGTTGTCAGACAGCAGCCAGAGGGCTATCAGCAAAATTCAGCAGTGCAAGTGAGTTTCCCTTTGTATGAATAGGTCTACGGCCACAATGCCGGCCCATGTAGTTGTGAGTAGGAAGACCCGGGGGTTAGCCCTAGGCACTGTTTGCTAGCATGATATTCAGGACCGAGGTCCAACACCGGGCGGGTGCCCAAGGAATGGTTTGCATGATAGAGTATACTTGTTGTCTGTGTGATACTTGTATGTGCCTGGTAGGGAGGTGAGTGTGGGCGAGGTCCCGTATCTCACCAATAGCAGAGTATGGACGGTGTTCCATATCTCATTAGCAGCAGAGCAGGGGCGAGGCCCAAGGTAGGAAGGGAGTGAGTGTGGGCTGGGCCCGTATCTCACTATCAGTAGGAGTGTGGACGGGGTTCCATGACTCATCAGTAGCAGGACAGGGGCGGGGCCCAAGATAGGCGAGGCCTTAGAACAAAAATCCAGTAGTATATGTTCAATTTGTGTGTTATGATATGATTGTATGTTAGTATATGTTAGCGGGCGGGGCCCAGAGACAGGCGGGGCCTAAGAGAAACAGATCTGTACACCGAGCGGGGCTCGAAGCCAGGCGGGGCCTGGAGCAGGCGGGGCCTGTTGTAGCGGGCGGGGCCCAAGGTAGTGGGCGAGGCCCAGTGTTTGCAGTATGCGATTATGTGGATGGTATGTGGTAGGTTGGGGAACTCACTAAGCTTCGTGCTTACAATTTTTAGTTTTGGTTTCAGGTACTTCTGGTAGCGGAGGGAAAAGCTCGGGATGATCGTATGACACACACCATAGATAGTCAGCCTGGGATGTTTTACTCTGATAATAAGAACATGTTTTGAATTAACACTCTGATTTTATGTTAAGAATTATATTATGGATTGGCAATTGTGGTTTAAGTAACGTTTTAAAAATGAAATTTTTGGTCGTGATTTTTGGGGTGTTACAAATGATCCAAAACCGATTCTTCTTACACAATCTTTTTGGATATCATTCATAGATTTCATATCCCCATAAATAGAATTAAGAGAAACACGAGCATACAAAGCCTTACCAGATTTACCATCATTTTTTTTAATCTTTTTTATCAGATTTTACTACAAACTTCTTATACTCGTCTCTTCATAATCGGAATCACTGGAAAAATCATTAGAACCTACAAAACATAACCAACAATTACAATAATAAATAGATAATACCTTGATAATATACTAAACTCCAAAATATATAACAATATCCTTCATATGTTATTGAATGTATATATTACCATATAGCCTTTTTTTCTTGCAAACTTTAGAAATTGTCTTAGAAATTTGATGTCTATCTTTCTTAAGCTTCAAAGAATTACTGGAATGAATCTCAATTGGCTTCTTCACCTCTGATACAATAAAAAAAAATTATAATCAAAGTAAATGAAAAAACGACGATTGGATGATTTACTGGAAAAACGACATTGAAAAAACCACAATTTTTTCCCCTTGCTAAGTACATCATCACTTGATATAACGTCATCTGAACATTCTTCGGGATCGTTCTTAATCTTCCATGATTTACTGTAATGTATCTCAATTGGATTCTTCATATCTACAACAAAATAACAATATAAAACAACATAAATTTATTCAAAAAAATTCTTAATCAATATTTATAAACGCATGAACCTCCATTAAATTTTTTTCCTGTAACTGTACATTCTTCATCATCTTCAATTTCAATCAGATTATCAGTAGAGTTTAAATTCCGATTCATGTTTCCTTCTACTTCCATTTGCAAGACCTTCTTTTTTTTTCATTCGCGAATTAAACTTTTTTTCTACTTGAACTAGCATCCAATATTGCTTTAAACGCAAACATCTACTTTGGAAAAAAAAAACATCCGAATATAACAATTCTCGGTTCTTGACAATTCTGCTTTATACATGAAACACTAATTTGATCCACCACATTGGGTAAGGAAGTTACCATATGAATTCAAAATTCAAAATCTATTATCTATAATTAACTGATGCATAAAATCCAAAATATATAATTACAATTTTGCCCTTATTTATACATTTACACCCTTAAATAATAAGAAATTAATATTAATTATCATATCCATGTGTCCAATTCTGATTGGTTCTCGCATTTTCGCAAGATATATACATTTTCGCATGAACCTATATATATATATATATATATATATATATATATATATACACACACACACACATACATATAAAATAAGTTGTTAAAAGAAAAAAGAAAAAAGAAAGAAATGGTAATTTGGTCTTTTTGTATGGAGCAAGGACCTGCAGTGCAATATTCACAAACATAGGGATGTAACCTGTCAAATTATAAACTTAGGGACCAAAACTGCAAATTCGATCAAACCATAAGGACCATTTTTTTATAATTTACTCTATAATCTTTGGCAAAATAGATATATCAAAATCATATGAAATTCTTACTTTATATAGGTTTGACAATTAGGTTGGGTTTGGGTTGACGGGTTAGAATATATTGACCTAACACAACCCATGTAATATATCGGTCGGTGAGTTGGCGGGTCGGAAACATCAATCCAATCCGACCAACATAACTCGTTTAAGTACATGGGTTATACACGTTTCTAAATTTATTAATAATCAGTATTTTATATTGACTAGAATGAAATGAACAACCAAATACACGCCTCTCATGTTTAAAACTCTGGATCGAGAATTAGATTTGGGGTTAGGAGTGTTAAGACTTAGTCACTTAGGGCATGCCTATATTCCATTAATTCATAAAACAAAATTAAAATTTTTGTAAATAGAATATATATAGTTGTGTTGACGGGTTGACCAGCGAATCCAAACAAGTAACCCAATCCAGCCCATGAAAAAAAGGGATTGACGGATTGACGGGACACATATTTTTCACCAATGAAATCGATAAAGGCTGATATATATAACAAAATTAACGAAATGAGTGATTAATGTTTAAGTGATAGTTTAGTATCATATATTTAAAAAAAGTTAAAAAGAATCGATGACGATACAGTTATAAATATATTTCCAGATACAATTATAAATATATTTTCGGATGTAAAACCTCGTAAGGCTTGATCATAAGAACTTTATTACAACATTGAAGTTATATTTAAATATTTTAATTTCTTTTTCATTTACCTAAGAAACGACTGGATCTCATCATTAACAAAGCAACTCTCAAACAATAAAGTTAAATACAAATCACATTCAAATCTCCTACAAAATATTCTTAAATGAGTTACTATTCATCTGTCACATTTTGGTAATTTTATAGCGTAGTTATATAATGTGAAAATAAAAAGCAACACTTTTTTTATAAAAACAATAAAGATTCTATCCGGTTATCAAAAAGAGTAATAATTAAAGCACACTTGTATTTTGCCACCAAATAAACGTGCTTCTCACCAAAACAACACCTACCTTCAAAGACACTCCGATCACATAAATCGAATTTTAATAAACTACAAACGAAATCTGATTACCTAATTCACCAAATGTTTGTGTAAGATAAATCTTATTTTATAATTAATCATTTTTATATAAACACAATTATAATTGTCATTATCTTTGATCTAATAAAATACAAAACAAAACAGAAAGCTAAAAAGTACCTTAAATTTCATATTTATAAGTTAATTATTCTGACTTGTATGACATATAGACAATTTAAAGATGTTATAACTTATAGTTATAAACCAATGGAATTCAACAAATAAATAAACAAGATTTTTTATACATTTTGAGATTAATAAAGAGTTTTTTGGGTATTTTATTAAGTACCTTTAAAATCAATTGTTTGAGTCACAAGCTAAGATGTTATTAAATCAATTTAATTCCCTTTTTCTGCAAAGATGTTATTTTACTTCTCCATACATTTCTTACAAAAACTCAATCCAAATGGAAAGAAGATAAAAGGAGGTGGAAATGATTTGGAAGAAAATCCAAAATAGAAGCTCTGAAATCCAATTATTTGTCAAAGAATAACAGAAGTATAATTGTACCTTACAACATACAACAAATCAAGCAGGACATTCAGATTTGTTTGGATTGAATTAATTAAAAACAAGGAGAGATAATGAGATATGTACATCAATAATTTGCAGACAAATAAGGCAAATTGATGAACATGATCAAAAAGAATTCCGAAAGCAATTTTAATAGTATTTTCTAGACAAATTCAAACACCAGTGTAAACCTATAATTCAGATCTGAATTGTCTGATTCGCGATTCAGATTTCAATATGATCAAACCAGATTAAACCGATGATTTAATCGGCAGATCACGAAAAACAGAGATGTATAAGAAGAAAAAAAAAAAAAAACTTACGTACATATTTATATATATAAGAATGAGTTCGATCGTGATTCATGAATTCTTCCTCCACTCGAATTGGAATCAAATATCGTGAATCGTGAAAATCTTTACAGACGACTACACCTTCTCTTCTTCGTGCTCGATTTTTGATTGATGATTTCGTAGCTTGACCTAAAAAACGATTCAATCTCGTCTCTCGCAACGCTCTCGAAGAAATCAAACTCCGATAATCTTCTCCTACACGACGGAGCAGACGGCCTCTGTTTTTTAGGCGGCGGAGGACAGGTGTTGAGTTGAGGAATTCTATGCTGTATCGTCGTCGGCGTTCGACACTCCTCCACCTCTTGATCCTCTAATTGAATCGCGCATGATTCCTCGGATGTTGAATCCATCAGCGGTGGAGATGCCGGAAGCTTGATTTTCAACGATGCCGGAAGCTTGATTGCAGGGAGATCTTGGCGTAACTGCAGATCTGTAGACATGATGTGGTGGTGGTCACGGTGGTTGTAGGTGATAACTCGGTGGGTGGATGTGGAATTTTGCTTGAGAAGGAAGAGAAACAGATGTGGAGACACCTGCGTTGTGCTCTCTTTATATGTAAGTTTCTAGAGATAGAGAGAGAAAATCTACCTTTTCAGAGGTGAAACTGTTAAAACCAGATACACAACGCTGTAGAAGCTTGTACTTTGTGCTTTAATGTTTGTAAGTTAATTCGTTGAAAAAAGAATTATTAATTTAATGCAGAAAACAGGTAGTTTCCTGGTTTGGACAAGAATATAATAAAGGAGTAGACTTCTTGTGACATAAGCCCCCTCTATTTATTTATGTTTTTTACGTTAAGCCCCTCAATAAATTAATGATAATATCCTTTTTGTGGAAAAGATTTTCATTATTTAAACAGAAATTAGTCATGTTTATTTTTACCCCCTTTTGCATTAACAAATAATATTGAGTTTTGATTAATTTTGGGTTAAATCAAGTATGTCAATTAATGTTACCAATGGCTTACTCCAATTTAATACAATACCTTAATTTAAATATATTTTGCTAATTACATCTCCATAATGAGGTTACTATATAATTGAATATGTATCTTTATTACATGCTCAATTATGTGAAATAGACCCATTAGGGTGTATAAAAAGTGAAGCGAGCTAAAGCCTAAAAGACTATAACTGAAATCAAATTATTTTGAAAAGCCGATGGTCACATACTTTATTTTTATTAAAACAAGACTTTTATGGTTTATTTTGGTTTTAGTTATAAAAAACTAGAAGGAAAAAAAAAAGCTAACCAAAACAAATGTTTATATCCCAAACAGTGGTTAGACTAGAGGAACGTGTTTAGTCATGTGATGAATAAACACGTCTAGCTATTTTGATTTAAGGGAATGGTGTTGTGTTTGTGAATATGTTGTTTTAGCTTTTTGTCATATATTTTGCTCTTGAATCGTGTTTGCCACATAACATACATGTCATTTATATGGGGTGATCAATATTTTTTATTTATTATTATTTTTTTGTTATTTGTTTTTTTTTTAATTTAAACTACATATTTTATAAAAAAAGATATTTCATTAAATTAAATAGAAAATTACAACACGTGAAGGAAATATATAACACCACAATTAAAACTTAAAAACAATGATACAAACATAAAATTAAAACTTAAAGAAAATCATCTTCCGAAAATTGATCGTCGAATTCATCTACACATGACATATTAAGATCAAGATTATTAAGTGTTTAAAGATGATGGATAAAATCACGGCAAAGATTGTGATGGATTTCCATATTGTGTTTTATCACACGTCTTTGTATGTATTCATTGTCACCAATTTTTTTAGTGGTTGTCTCTGGAATAACTTCATGCTCGTCGTACACACATATCGTGTTGTTTTCAGCTTCTAGTATCACATTATGTAATATGATACATGAATAGATCACCTCCATCATATTTATCTTTTTAGACAAAATTGTCAGAATTCCAAGTATTGGCCAATGTAACGACCGGGAAAAAAATTATTTCCTTATTAAGGTATTAAAGGAAAATAATTATGGAGGTGGGTAATGAGAGATTTAAGTACACTCTTCTTTCAGAAAAAAAAACAAAGAAAGTAAGGGGATTAATAAATTTGGCGCTTGGCGCGTGACTATAGATTCGCGACACGTTTGTTAGTTACACGACACAAATGTTATTTAACGTGGCACATTCAATGGCTTACTCGACAAGGAACACATGGAAAAAGGAAAATACATGTTGCTCAAAGACGGAGTGTGTGACAAAGACGAGACTCGATGGGGAAAATGACATGATGCGCAGAGGAATACGTGGCTTAACTCTTGACACGTGTGAGTACGTGGCAACCCTCAGACGTGACACCTAGATGCGGCACATCCAGGAAATGTACGCGATGCATATGTGTGTTATTCAGTTTAGTATAAAAATTGAGAGAAATAGGTCTTTTAAGGGTCGGGTTGGTATATCGAAACCAGAATCTGTTCGCAACATCTACATGTTAGAAGTGGAGGTCATGAGGCTGGTTAGCAAGGGTAAAACTATCATACAAGCAACCAGAATCTGTTCGCGGCATTTACAGGTTAGAAGTGGATGTCATGAGGTTGCTGTGACTCGACAGTCAAGGTTGTAGCTAGCAACCGTAGGTGGGGGTGTCATCCTCGTATAGATCTATACATATCTCTCCTGCTCACTTAAGATTTAATGATTATAGGTCGGCATTAGCTAAATGTTATTTAGCTAAAGGATGAATAACGTCTCATTTAACAACTCTTTCCATGTAGCCGTATCAGGTACCTTGCTTTCTGTTGTTATCTTTAGTTGTACTTTATATATATATATATATATATATATATATATATATATATATATATATATATATATATATATATATATATATGATTAAGCTATTATAGTTTATTCCGGTGAAAGGCCCTCTTTCATACTTAACATTATTATCACTCCAAAACATGCTACATGCATATTCATAAAACAATATTTTACATTGATAGTTTAACTACAAAAGACTGGATACAAACCGACTATTAAGTTTTTTACAAAATTTTTATATATATTACATAACTTCCCAGGAAATTATACACTAATACAAAAGCTATAACATTATCTATTCTACATCTTCTACCAGTACATGACTATACTGGATTCTTATCACCCGCAATAGATTAAACATTGAGAGGGATAAGCGGGTGACGCTTAGTGAGTTCAATAACAGTTACAATATAACGTTATGCCATATACATATCAATATGACAGAAGCAAAGAGGGAAAAGGAACAACAAAGGCATATGTGAATCATGTGACAAGCTTTCCATATCAACAAATGATTTGATTCAGAAATTTACAATCAACGAGATACAACAATTTCAACTTGATATACATCAGTACGACTTCATCCCATGTAGCATAGAAAATATACGACTTCTGAATTATCATTTGGCTAGCAGGCTTTCAGCCCTATCTAGCCTTCTGCCAATGCCAAAGTGAATGCTTAATCATTCACTTCATGGTCAGAGGCTACATACCAGTACCCAAGTGATGCTTAGTCATTCACTTCGTGGTCAAATGTATGGCTCATTATCATAATAACACGGGAAAGCACATTGCACATATAACACATAACATACAATTGTCCCTGTATTGAACTCACCGTGAAATAATTGATTGATAAAATGATAATTTGGGCAGCACTTCGCCTCTAAATATGACTTTCTTTGACGAAACCGGGGATTTTTGTTGAAAACCAGACCTTGTGCGGGCAGAGTTATAACTTGAAAATATTATTTTCTCGGGTCTTCGGGGCGTCGGGACTTGCTTCGGGTGTCGGGGATGTTTCCTAGGCTTCGGGGTAGTTTAGAGAGGCTTAAAAGTGAGTAAAAGTAGGAGAGAGGTTGAGAATTTGCAACATAATCCAGAGGCCTCGCATCCTATTTATAGGAGGCTGTCCAAGTCAAGTCCACGTCGTGGGCTTCATTTCCACGTCGTGGAAATAGAGTTGCATCACCTCGTAGACTTGCCATTTGGGTCCTAGCTTCGGAAGGTGTCACGATCCTGATTCCACGTCGTGGGCTTCATTTCCACGTCGTGGAGATTCAACACCTCACTCCCGTAGACTTGCCATCTGTATACTAGCATTAAGAGGTGTTTTAGATCACTTCCAAGTCGTGGAACACGGCTGAGCTAGGGTTTGTGCCACGTGTCACTCTCTTTGACTGCTACATCTTCGGAAGGTCATAACTTTTGCATACGAGCTCCGTTTTTAACGTTCCTTATATTCACGCGTAGATAAAATTATACTCTACAACTTTCGTTTGAACTCCGTCGGGTAATTTTGATTTTATTTTTAATATTATATTTTTAACAGGCCGGGACAGGAAAAGTTCGTTAAAAATTCATAACTTCTTCATCCGACGTCCGTTTTCGTCGGTCTTTTTACCGTTGTACTACTATTGATGAGACCTTTGATTCTCGTTTAGGTTTAGTCGGCTAAAAATCATCCGATCTTCATTTCGAGTTTTTAGCTGTGTACTGCTATACTGAAACTTAGAAAAATCATAACTTCCTCATACGAAGTTAGATTTGGATGTTCTTTTTATGGAAATTCTCAGTTTAATGAATAATACGACTTCATTTAGATCACTAAAGATAAAAAATAGTTTATCGAAAACTCACTTTTACGCTAAATAGTGTTTTGTCGGTTTGGTCACAGATCTTCAATAAGTCATAACTTCTTCGTTATAACTAGGATTTCGATGAGGTTTTCGCCTAAATGTTTCTAACGAGATAATCTACAACTTTCAATAACATTATTTTAACTTATTTCCAACTTTATATTTTCATTAATTTCAATAGTTGACTTTTGATTGGAATCTCATAAGACTTCCAATACTTTTCTGAATGATTCTAAACATAGTTTTCCTTCAATTCTAATAAAAATATCTTGTTAGAACTCAATGATCAAAACCATATATTACTTAATAATATTTATTTTAAAATTAACAAAACACGATAACTGAACGTGTATGTTACATCCGGTACGATATTCAAGTATAGTAACCACTAAGTATTATGTTATCCCAAAAGTTGGTCAGGGTAATGACTATGTATAATGCTTTTCTAATGAGTTGGAAAATGTAATGACTAGGTACGATGTTATCTCGAAAAGTTGATCATGGTAACTGTTAGGGTGCAAAGTCACTCTTGGATGTCATTACTACTGATGGCTTTTGAGCATTTCTAACACTCCTAAGTGTACATGCAACCCTAGAAAACCTTGGATCTATGTTTGTCTAAAATACATGCAAAATACTTTTTCCAAGGTTCATAATCCTATCTAGCATACATGGGGAACTTTAAACATAAAAGATGGCTAGAATTACATACCTTGTAGTTGATTTGATTCCTTGAAAAACCTTGAGAGCCTAGCACCCCAAGTGTGATGCCTCAA